TCCTCCTCCTCCTCCTCCTCCTCCTCCTCCTCCTCCTCCTCCTCCTCCTCCTCCTCCTCCTCCTCCTCCTCCTCCTCCTCCGCGCGGCGCCTTTCTTGCCGCCCCGCGCCGTGCCCGGTTCCCCGCCGTCTCCGCCGCCGCCCTTGCCTGCCAGGGGCGCGCGGGAGCGCGGGGGGGGCGAGGGTCGGCGCCGCAGGTCGGGCGCCTCTCGCAGCCACGGGCCTGTTTGATCCTAGAATTGACACAACATCCCAGAAGGGGGCCTTGGGCCACACAAACAAATAGACACAACATCCCAGGATTCCCAATAGTTTCTCATATTTGCTGGGTTCTCGTTATCCCCGCCACTTCCCATATGTTCCCGCATCTTCCTGGAAGTCAACGATTCATCATGTCGGTATGTTCTGTCCCTTCCTGACCGTTGTCCGCCGCGGCGGGCGCGGAGATCCGGCGGACGCAGAGCAGCGCTTGCCAGGCTCGGTGTCTGAAGCTGCGCGGGTCGTGCAGCAGCGACGGCTCTGTCCGACAGCGCAGGTGGCCTGATGTCGACGGATTCTCGGCCACTGGCGGCGCCCAGCACTGGACGCCCGCGCGGGGGCCGCCGCCGCCGCAACGCGGCGGAAAACCTACAGCTGCGGGTTTGGGCAGAGAGGGTGGATGGGTTGACGGGCGATGGGTAGAGGGGTGGAACTGGTTGGGCACAGTCTCGATCAACTGGGTGCCTCGTACCACGCCAGCACACCCCAAGCCTGATTACGCTACCAGATGAGTTGGGCGAGAGCTACATGTTCCAGCGGCGACCGTGTACAACGAAGTTCTGGCCTCTGCATTGTTCCCCACCGCCTGTTCCGACGCTAGCTACCATGTTAGCTCCCGCTCCCTTCCCTCGTCTTTTTCATTGGCGAGGCACCAAAGCTTCGAGGCCGCTCCCGGCCCCAACACAGAGGCAGGCGCAGCGGCGCCACCGAAACAGGGACAGAAAAAGAAAAGGGTGGGCGGGCGGGACAAGCGGTCCCACCCTTGAGCCCATAACAGCGGCAGGCAGGCGGCGCGCACGCAAGAGAGACACGAGGAGGGGCAGAACATTGCTTCACCTTCGTGAATCCGAGTTTGCGTTGTTCGTATGCCCGACGCCATCGTCATATCTTCCGAACTCCTACTCTCCGACACATGCTCCAACCCCTGCTCCGACGCCCGCTCCAGCGAGTAATGGCGGCGGCGTGCCCTGACGAGGGCAATTATGTAGGTTCCCACCCGCTTACGTCCATTGCATCGCTGGGGACAGGACAAACCTTGGGTCGGGCATGTCCTCCTACACGCGAATCTTGTGAGGAAATGAAACAATTGAAAAATACAAAAGAATAGTCAAAAATCGTCCCCTGACTATTTGTTGTTATTTTCCCATCTTTCTCCTGCAGAGTGGCATGCCCGACTTAAGACAAGCCCAGACATCCGATGCATTTTTGTTGTCTGGGGCTGGGCACGCCCCAGGCGCTGCCCAGCGGGGGCCCGCCGAGCATGAGCCCGATCGCCAGCAGCCCGCCGCACGGCAAGCGGTTGAGCCTGGCTGTCCCCCTCGCCCCCGCCAGGCTGGCGAGAGAGTAGGTGGCCAGCAGCGCTGCGCGGCGGGCGATGCAGTAGGAGCTCGACCACAAGAACCCCAACCCTGAGACCCCAGGATGTCCGCTGAGTTCTGCTGCGGGAACGTCGTGCTGTCCGTCTCAGAACCATCGTAACCCAAGAAACCCACGGCACCCTGGAGGCAAGCAGGGTGTTTCTTGGCATGGGTCTCCACTGTACCAGAAGTGACCCTGGCCCAAGGTGCTGGCTTCTCCAGGCCATCCTGAAACCTGTGGGGTCCTCTGGGGCTCGTTGGGGGGACACTCTGGAGGCCATCTGGGCCTCCCTGCAAGGAGGAAGAGGAGGAGGAGGAAGAGGAGGAGGAGGAGGAGGAGGAGGAGGGGAAGGGGGAGGGGGAAGAGGAGGAGGGGGAGGAGGGGGAGGAGGCGGAGGAGAAGGAGGAGGATAAGCAGGGTGTTTCTGGGCATGGGTTTCCACTGTGGCTGGTGCCACGCAGCGGCCGACCTTCCCCGCCTGCCCAGCGGCGGCGGCCGGCACGGGCTGCGCGCCCTCCTGCCAGCGGCCTCGCGCCACGGGGCCCGGCCTCGCGCTGCCCGCGCCAGCTTCCGGGACTGCCCAGGAAACCTGTGGGCCTCCAGAGTGGGAGGAGGAGGAGGAGGAGGAGGAGGAGGAGGAGGAGGAAGAGGAGGAGGAGGAGGAGGAGGAGGAGGAGGGGAGGAGGAGGGAGGAGGAGGAGGAGGAGGAGGAGGAGGAGGAGGAGGAGTACCCGTCCTCAGTAGGCCAGCGAAGGCCGACCCCAAGATTGGCCCAGAAAGGCTCGAGCCCCAGTAGAAGCAGCGAGAGAGAGAGAGAGAGCAGGCAGGAACGGGGACAGGGACGAGGGAAGCCCGCGCACCTTCCTCGGGGCTGAGAGAGCCTAGCGCTTACAGCAAACAACTAATTGACATCCTCTTCCTCGTCGCCTTCCTCTTCCTTCTCGTCCTCATCGGCTCGGCCGACCAGAAGTACGGGGCAATTGCTGAGCAGGGACCTCGAGCAGCAGAGCGACTCCTCCTCCTCCTCCTCCTCCTCCTCCTCCTTCTCCTCCTCCTTCTCCTCCCAACTCCTCCTCCTTCTCCGCCTCCTCCTCCTCCTCCACCTGTTCCTCCTCCTGTTCCTAGTCCTCCTTCTCAATCATATCAAAATCCAGAACAGCACCACCATCGTTATCACCACTATCACCATCATAATTATCACCATTATAACCATGACAATCCCCACCGCCAGAACCATCACCACTATTATCAGCATCGTCGTCGTCGCCGTCGTCGCCACCACCACCATCATTACCACCACCACCATCACCATCACCATCATCATCATCATCATCATCATCACCACCATCATCATCAGCATCATCGGCATCATCATCATCATCATCATCATCATCA